TTTAAAAATCTAATTGAAAAAAAAATTAAGTTAAATATTTTGTAGGAATATTATAAAAAATAAATCACACGTGTTATTTGATTGTTAAAAATATATTTTAAATAATTGAATCAAAATATTTCTTCTATAATTAAAAGAAAAAAAATTTTTAAGCAAATTATTTTTTTTTTTTATAAAGAATGAAATAATACGCTATTAAATATATTTTTCATATATACTTCTATAACAGCTTAACGATTTCGATCTATTCATTTAAAATAAAAGCACTCAAAACGATTTTATATGTTTTATGCACTTTTAAGAGCATTTCAATTACTTTAAAAAAAAAAGTACAGTTTATATATAAGAAGAAACGCTTCTCATACAATTAAAAGTATAAAAAAAAAGAAAAAATGGCAACGCGTGAAACACAATCAATAATTGCAGCTACAAGAATAAAGAATGTGGCAGGCTCAACTGCAAATTACGCTCATTAAACGTGCCACAACAGCAGCTCGTATTTCAGAATTTGGCATTTTCGAAAGTGCCAGTCGCGGCTCTTAAATGACTGCAGAACCTCAAAGGCAAATGAACAATGAAGGCAAAGCGCTTTCAGGTTCTCGGGCGATAATTTCATTGACCATAACCATTGTACAAGTGCATAATATATGTATGTACAAATATGTATTGACAGTAGGGTGGTTTCTTTTTTTTTTGCTTAGCCTGAGGTTAAAATTTGTCGATTATAAAAAAATTAAATTTTTGAAAAAAAATTTTTTTTAACATCAAGAGTCCCACTCAGTTTTAAAGTAAATTTCGAGTTAAAATTTTTATTTCGTAAAAAATGTTTGATAAGTGTTCTAGAAGCTGTGGAGAGTCCTCTTTCTGGCCAATTAAAAGTTATCAATTTAAAAAAAAATTTTGTGGTCATTATTGGAGTTTTAAAAAAGTCTTAAACGACAACATGCTTTTCCTAAGCGTTAAAATAAATTGTGAGTCAAAAACCGTAAAATTCGGTAATCTTTATACAAATGTGAAGAGTTTAACCAAAAAGTTTGTCCAAAAAAAATTTTAACTCGAAATTTACTTTAAAAGTGGTCCACCCTGGAGATGCTACAAAAAAATTATTTCTTTTTCCAAAAATTTTCTTTTTTTATAATCTACAAATTTTACCCTCAGGCTAAGCAAAAAAAAATTTTTTTTCGCTCCACCCTGCTCCACATGAGCATGTATGCGTGTATGTGTTCATTTTTAGGCATTTATTATCACCTTACACGCAGTCGCGGCAAATTAACGTAACTTACGAAATCATTTCCATTTTCTTATCCTTATGCTGCCGCCGTGTCTTACGACAACGTTTAAAATCAGAGCAATGAATGGTCGGCTATTCGACAAAGCAATTCGTTGCGCTTCTCAGGCGCGCTGCTAGACGCTGTGTTGCCTTTCCATTCACCGAACTTGCCACCTTCAGTGCTAGTGCTTTCGTATATATTATTTGTCGCCGCGTTGATTATAGTGCAGCGCTCGTTTTTTCCTTTTCGCTTCATTTACTCGCTTTTGATATGTGTTAATGTGACCTGGTCTACATACATACATACACGTATATAAACATATAAGTATGCATGGCTGTGGCAAGAAGTGCGCCAGTGTCGAGGCAACATGTTCTCGACGCTTTCGACCCTGATGTCCATGATCATTACACATCAAGTGGCTGTTTAAGCTGCCGCTGACATATATACATTATATACATATTGATGTGTATGTGTAAATGAGTTGCACACTTTTATTTTGCGGCGTTGCGGCTTTTTAATTAAACAAAAAATAATCAAAATCTAGGAAGAGCCCAAAAAATGAGTGAGAATCGTCACTCACTTGTCGCTACTTTAGCGCCTATTACAAAAAAATACAAAAGTATGATGCATCCATCCCTACACACATGAACACCTACTGTCGCACACACCCATATATAATATGTACATATGTATATGCTTTACTGACTCGCCTGCCAGTACCTTTCATGAGTATGCACTATTTATATTGCCAATTCGGTATTCCCAGGAATTTGTCATCATTACGCGCAACTAGAGGCGACGGTGGCAATACACATTTACATATATACATATGAACACTACATGCACACATGCAACATCACGTTCAATTCAAAAGAACAACAACTCTTACTGACTGCCTTAAGCCGCCACACCGACAGCATCAATTCTGCATTTAAATATTCACTTGAGCTGCTTTAGTGTCTTCACGCTTAAACTATTTTGTTTTGCTTTAAACGCCTGGCAAAACAAAACAATAGCAAGTGTTGAACATATATTAACTAACTAGAACGTACTGTAAGAAGCGGTAAACATATTGATTCTCATTGAGAGGTCGGAAAAAGCATTACTTGCTTTGTGGTGTAATTTTATATACAATATTTTCTACAATTTTGTTTAAATCAAGAAAATATATATAATATATAGTATAATAAATTTGAGAAAGGCTGCCGAGTTTATAGACATTTTCAGTCAGGTAATCCCGACTTTCATGGGAATTGCAGAGATTTTTTTCTTGAATAAGCATGAAAAATCATAAGTATAAGTATTTAGAAAAATATAATCGAATTAGTTAAGTATTGCGGAATTAAAATTTGCGTTGAAAATTATAAAATACTTTAAAAAATATTCGCCATTAACTTTGTTGTACAAAATTTTACAACATGCTGCACTTGCTTCATTAAGTTAAGATGAAAGGAATTTCTATATGCCTTTGCCAGGATTAGTTGAACATTACTCTGAATAATAGTTTAATTCTGCAGCTTAAAAAGCCAGCACAGGAACATATTTAGAGCGGAGTGTGCCTTCTAAAGCTTAAAAAGGTTTGAAAAAGTTTACGCAAAGCTCAAAATGTTTAATAAGTAATTTAATATATCTGAAGGTCAGGAACATATTTAGAGCGGAGTCTGATTTCAAAAGCTTAAAAAGTTTTAAAAAAGTTTTTGCTCAAACATTTTATTTGTATTAACTAACTTTAACATTTTTCTGCATAATGAGACAATTCCAAACTCCTTTCTTCTCTCAATTGGAAATGTAATTGTTCTAAAAGCCAAAAGCTTACATAGGCAATGTGCGAATGCCTAAGTTTGAATAAAGTTTACGCAAAGCGCAATAAAAAATGAATAACAAATATTGATTACGGTCACATGAAATCATTTATTGTTTCAGTGCTAACTTATTGGCAAATTAGTTTTTTTAAATTGAGCTACGTTTTTTACATCACATTAGGCATTTATGGCAGTTTGTTTGATTCGTCGCGATAAAGTCTTTTTCGAAACCATATATTTACTATATAAATGTGTCTTGACTAAATATTGTAGTTCCGGTGTGTTTCCACAAGACATCGTTTTTATTTTCTTAGAAAATTGGTAATGATATAATTATAATACTTTTCTAGTGGCTAAACTCAGCACCCACTATGAAATAATATATAGGCAAACACTTTATGTATTTAGATTAGCTGAGATATGAAAAGGAGTTCTATATGGTAAATCTCTCTTCCAGTTGTCTTGTAATTCTGCAAATACTTTCAGCGGTTACACGATTTTTGATTTAGAGATTACTTCAAAACCGGAAGATTTTTTTTTTTTCAATTGGTAGGATCCTGACTCTTCATAATTAGTTGACTTTTATTTACAGTAGCAATATTTTTTGTACAGGTAGACATTTACACAATTTTTTATCCAATGTGACTTACTTTTTCGTTGTTGGCGCGTCCTAAAATAGCTCAATGATGTCACTGCTAGATTTAAACCTAGTTTATCAACTGCCTTTAGGCTCATTTGCATTAAAAGTCGAAGCTGCCAACAGCTGAGCAATTATTCGTTATTTTTTTTATTGGATTTTTGTTTTTAGACTTGGGTTCAATACATTAAACTTTGAACAGTTGGCAAACAATTAACATTTTTACAACAAAGAACTGCTTTCTTCACAGTCTTCCAAAGGCCGCCGTGGCTTTATAAATATTTGATTACATATTTCACCGAAAAATTTACATGTGAATACATTCGCAATTATTTTATTGGCCTTCATAAAGAGACAAATGTGTATTTGATTGGCCCCAAGAATGGTTAAAGCAAGCGCTTAGATCTTGTAATATGTTAAACAGTTTGGAGTGTTTGGCGTTGAATAGCGGGCGGCGGAGAATGCGTTGTTGCCAGGCGACGTAGATTTCACAGCTTCTCTTTATTTTTGAAAGTATTTTTATAACCATGACTTGTCTTATAAATTATGCACATGTAAAGAAAATATAATTAATCGAATTATGGCAATAACAACCAAAGCGTAAAAATCAAACGACCAACTTTGAGGAGAAAAGTAATAAAATTTAAAAAGCACTAGTAAAAATATTTGAAAGTAAAAAATTAAAGACCAAAGTGATTGCTAACGAACAAGTGGCGACTAATGTAGTCGCATATTAAAGTGATTTTAAAAATGCTAATGGCAGATATTCCTAATATTTAGCTTTTAAATGGTCTGGAATTAGCGATTGTATACCGAAAGAGCGCGCATGCGCAAACATTCTGCACAATTCAAGCGACGATTAGCGCTCGAACGACACCGGGTTCGGGTTAAACCCAATGAGCGCGATTAGTTAGTTGTGTAACGCTATGTTTGCACAAATTAAATATTTATAAATATTTTATTTTTATATTTTTTTGTTTTCAATCTTTATTATATTTGTTTGAATTTTTTTCAAAACATCGATTCGAATTAGGCTCTTCCAACAGAGCGACCGGTAAAAGAAATGAAGCTGCAAATAATCTGTTTTTTTTTGTCTTTTACCATTTGAGTACACAAATTAATTTAACTAATTAAAAACAGCAAAAAATGCCGCTAAACAAGCGCTGTTACAACATTAAACCGCATATTATGCAAATTAATCCGGCATGTTTTTTGATTTTGCTACTTTTAACGGTCATTAAATTAAAATAAATATTTATTAAATTGTGTTTTTGCCATTTCTTTTTGCAGTTTCTGGCCTCTCCGGTGGCGAGCGTGAGATCATCCTGCACGAGCACAACAAATTGCGCCAATTGGTGGCAACGGGCCGCTATCCAGGTCAACCGGGTGCTGAAAATATGCGTGAAATCGTTTGGGACGACGAGTTGGCGGCGCGTGCGCAACAATGGGCCAATAACTGTGAATTCCGTCATGACCCTTTGCGAACGATCAGTAAGTTATCGCAAGCGCATTTCGTATATCATCAAAATGAACACTAATTGCCATTTTCAATGTTTTCACTGTGTGTTAATCCATTTATTAATCTATCTATGTTTTGTCCCACTAATACGAACATACTTACATATACATATGCAGTGAATTGGAATATTTTGGGCTTGCGTTTGGCTCTTAAAAAGCCTCTTAAATATATGAAAATGAACAGCTTTTTTGGACTAATTTTACTAACAAACATTTTTTTTTGTAATTCCGTTTGGATTGCTGGCAGTTGAAAATTTTTGACTTTGCATACAAAAATTTTTAATATTATTTTAAAGCTTGAAAGCGATGCATAAATCATAAGAAATTTTTAAATTACAAAAAAAAAAAATGTTTATATATTTTTCTTACTAAACATATCATATGTAATGAAAAAAAATTTTAATTCTTAAGTATTGCGTTCTTTTTATAAAAAAAAAAATCATTTTACAGTCTAATAATATCAATTTCAGACATTGAATTTTTAATTTTAATGCAGTTATAAAAATAGTAATTATTTACTAATTAAAATGAAAAAAAAAATTATTAACTAATTAAATTAAAAAATAATTACTTACTAATGAATTAAATTAATTAAAATTAAAAAATGATTGGTAATTAATTTACTAATTAAAATAATTGAGTAAATAATGTAATAATTAATGTTTATAATTAAATAATTATTTTAATAATCAAATAACTTATTTTAAAAATTTTTAAAACGTTTTTGGAATTTCTGGGAAAGAAGTAAAGTCTAATCATATTAATTTCCCACATAGAATTGTGTTTTATGCAGTAGTTAATTTAGAAATTAAAATAAATTAATAGATTTAAAAGTAAAAAAAAATAGCTAATAAATAATTAAAATAAATAAATTTTTATTTAATTAAACTTAAAAAATAATAATTTATTTAAAAATAATTATTTATTAATTAAAATTAAAAATTATTAGCAATTATTGATTATAAGCAAATAATGAATTAATATCGTTACTTATTTAAATTGAGTCATTTTATAAGTGCGATTAAATAATTAATTGTTTTTTTTTATAAAACATACAAAAACAACTCATTATATATATATGAAAAAAAGTTTAAAAAAATAATAGGCACTCCATCTTGCTAACAAAACCATTAATTTACTACAGGATATGTTTAATTAACAGCATAAAAAAACTTACCCACAACCAAGCAAATAATACTGAAACGCAAATAAATAAAAATTAATTGAAAAAATAAAAACGCTCGTTAAAAAAATAACAAAAATGTATATAATCTATGCAAATCCTCGCGATCTTGGAGAATACAAAACCACCATATTAATCAGAAAGTAACCGTAACCATACATATCCATATAAATCATAACGTTTAATTAATCTTATACTCTAGAAATCCTCCATACAAACAATAACATGTCAAATTCCCAGCACACCGCATGCATGCAAGCACCATATGGGCGCAAACCAATACGTGGGTAAACAGAACATCACAAAAAAAAGACACACACAAAAATCAAAAAAAAATTGAAAAAAAAATTTTAAAAATTTGAAAAATATTTAAAAAAAAAATTTAAAAATAAATTGTAAAAAAAATAATAATAAAAAAGTACCATAAATAATAAATACGAGAATGAAACCGGACTAATGTTCGTTCATGCCAACCACCACAGGCGTGTATCTAACCTACTCATGACATGACAATTTGTTAAATAACCGTAACTCTTGTTTTCAAAAATAAAACTTAAAAAAACCAATAATCAACTCAAAAACACCAAATTGTAACTAAAATTGCATGTCTTTGTTCCTCGTAAAGAGAATGTTTTGTGTGCCTTAACCGTAATATGTTGCGTAATGAGATCAACTGTTATTAACTTGATTTTACTTTTCTTCTATTCTTCCAACACACAATTTTTATCACTCCACGTATCTCCATTGCTGCCCTCCCCCTCTTTATGTTCCCGTTCGCTGTTTGCTGTTTTGTGCGCCACCGTTGGATTCACCACTCGTCCACATCTTTATCACAATAGATCGCTTCACCATGGGTCAAAACCTGGCGATTATCTGGAGCACAGCCCCGCTCGATGCCTCCGACGGCGATTTCCCATCACGCATCCAAAGCTGGTTCAATGAGGTGCAAAAGTACTCATTTGGCGATGCTTGGTCAGCGAAGACTGGTCATTACTCTCAGGTTAGTGGACGAAGAGAGTCGAAAAACAACCTACTAATGTTATTTAAAAAAATATTCTGCATGCAAAATCTTTATAGGAAATCAAGATATAGAGAAAAGAAATATAGAATATCAGAACAATCAAATACTAGATACTTAATCATATACAATACGTATATATATTTGGTTTAATTATGCAGCAGAAGAGTATATGTTTAAAATATATTTTTCGATCTACCTTATATTAAACCATATATTGAAACAATTTTCCACTTATCGGATTTAAAGGATATATATAATATATCGAAAATATAGACTCGTTTCGTTAGAAAATTTTGAATTTTTTTTATATGGTAATTTCGGATATGCCAACAATAGTAGTCCCGTAAAAGATATATTTCTAAATTTTAATAAATATTTTTAATTGAAAAAGCATTTTGAACAAACTTTTATATAATACAATATTTGAATAGAATCTTCCATATATCTTAATTAAATAGATATTAGTATCCAACATACGAGATCTGGAAAAATATAGTATAGAGTTATAAAGTATCCCTCAAAAATTTGTGTTTCAAAACTAAATTATTCAAATTAAATAAAACATATCGGTCAAATAAAACTTTGGGAATACTTCTCGAAGTAGAGTATCTCGTACACCTCGAGGCGTTTTTAAGTACAAACTTTATTAAACTTTTTTAAGTTATCCCCTAAATTAATTTTTTATTTCCTTTCCAGTTCATGAATGTCTTATTATTTATGTTCCACAAGCTCAGTTCCTTGTTTTTCCTTAGCAGAATTTTCGTTCAGCCCACATATTTAATACACATAAAGCTTAAATTTGATTTATTTTAGTTTACTAATTTTTTTTGCCTATCTTTTCAGCTGGTCTGGGGTGAAACAAGTTTAGTTGGTTGTGGCTTCTCTGAATACAAAGACTCAACCAAATATAACAAGTTGTACGTTTGTAATTATGGACCAGGGTAAGTAACCAAAATTGAGTAATTTAAATATTTAGTTAATGATACTAAGTTTAACTAAATTTTCATAAAACTGAAAAGTCGCTATCTTCTACTAAATTTTTAAAGAAACCTTCCCAAAAAATACGATCTTTGACTCGATCTTTCGTTATAGTTAGTCCCCATATTTTATGCCTCATTCACAAGCGATACCAAATATAAACTGAAATGTGTTAAGTAGATTCCCAATTAATATTCTTAAATATTTTAATTCTGGTGGTCTGATTTTCCGACTCCATTTCCTTGACATTTTCACATACCTTCGTTTTCTCTCAGAAATATCAGTAATGGTATTGTGACAATTTTATCACGTTACTGTTTTTGAGTGCGTTGAATAGGAAATTGTGACTTCATGAATGAAATAATAATATTAGATTAAAAGTCTTGAGAGTTGAATAGTTTTTAAAAGACTCATCACAAAAAATGCAAGTCAAACTTCAATATTTTCAATCAACTGATTTTAGCTTTATGACCCTGACCAACTTTTTGCGTCATATACACTCAGCTGTTCGAGTACTCATTTTAAAAGAATTATTCCCTTGATCCCGTAGGCTATTTGCAGGGTGGCCTGCTCCAAAACCCCAAAAAAATTTATTATTATAGACGAAATATATGTTTAATGAATACATAAGCAAAAAAAATTAAATTTTAAAAATTCATAAGCGGATATAGGTCTTTAATAGAGGAAAGAACAAACAAATTCGATTAGAGAATTTCCTTTTTTTATTTTCTCAATCAAATTAACTTTTTATAAGTTAAGAATGCCGCCAATGATACGCAGATCCTTAAAAAAATGTTCAAACATAACTACAAAAACACAGATTATCTTTGCAATAAAACTTTTTAATTGTCTCATTTCAGTGGAAACGTCGTCGGTTATAATCCGTATCAGGTAGGTAAGCCATCATGTGCGACATATGGCTTGCGATCGTCATCGCGTTATCAGGGTTTATGCGCACCATCGGTAGCGCCAGTTGTTAGCGCCAACGCCATTGACACGTATGAGTACAAACAAAATAGCAACAACAAAAAATTCCCATATTCAACGCAACCAGCTACAACATCAACCTCTTCTTCTTCTTCCTCCTCCTCCTCTTCCTCTGTATATTCTTCCAAACAGGCGACGCACACATTTGGTCAGCGTAAGGCCGCAACAACAAATTCAGCGTTTAGCGCCACACTACACAAGGCTACAACAACAACCACAAGTGGCCACAAGGCGTACACAACTCAGACCGGTGGCAGCAACAAATACAAGAACAAGCTCGAGGCATATCGCCCGTCCACAAGCGAGTTTCAGAGGTCCATACAGAAGCACACCATTCTGAGGACCTACCTGAGCAATCCCAATTTGAGTCAGCAACAATTGCAGCAGGAGGCACAAAAGCAACAACAACAACAAAATGGTAATGGCGATGTCACAGTTGCCACCGAAGTATACGTTTTCGACGAAAGCAAACAACAACCACAAGAAACAACAGCAAATACAACACCGCAACCGGCCAAGCGCGGCTGGAGCCTCTTGACGTGGCGTGGCTAAATGGAAGGAAGGGCGTAAAATTGGGGCATGTGACAAGTGAAAACTTCTAATCGATTACTACTGTGTAGTAACGGCAAATATGTGTGCTTCCTTGCCGCCAAAATTATTGAAAAAATTAGAAGAAGAAAAGCAAAAAAAATACTTAATATACGCCCCTCTGTTTGTTGTATTGCCATTCAAATTGTATTTGTAATTATCGAAAAAAATATTCCAAATATTACTTAAAAACTTTATGAATTTATATTTGACATAGCAGTCATTAGTCAGTAAGTAGAGCGCTCGCTAGTTAGGCCTAAATAAAAATTATTACATTTTTTGGGTATAAGGGAACGTCAAATTTTTGTCACAGCCACTCAAAAGTTCACAACTACCGACCACTGCCGACAGCCACGTCACCTCAAGCCATCAACAGCAATATTCTCTTTTCAAAAACTGTTAAGAGTAATCTCCAATAGACTTCACTGTAACAAAATTTCAACGCCTCAACTCAGTGCTTGCATCTATTGTAATTGCCCATATACTCGTTTGAATCGACGCCTCTTATAAATACATAGGTATACATATGTATTAATATACAAATATACAAATTACATTCCATAAAACAGCTAGGGACCGATATTTCGCGCCATTTTACTGCCGAAAACTGCCACCAGCGATCAGCATATACACATACGCAACTATATCATAAACTATCATTTTAGTATTAGTAAGAGATAAGTAAGAAAATACATACATACGCATATGTACATAATATACAAAACTATGTAATCGCCTATGATACGAATGTTTGTATCAAACGTTTGTACCCACATTTGTCTAACACATGTATACATACTACGCAAAACAATAGTAACTAAAGCAAAATTATAAAAATATACATAGGTACATATGTATAACAATATATATGTAAGCATGTACAAATATGTGTATGCTCAATTTGCTAAATATCATATAGTCTAGTTATAAATAATAAGAGTTTTGCATAAATATCGCATGCGATTTTTACGAAAAAATGACACTTGTAGATTTTAATTTTCACCGCCATTTTTGTGCAAAACTCTTTGGAATGCATTATTTGTAAACACTAATGCAATAATAATAATTTTTTAGTAAATATAGTTATTGTGTGAAGTATTTTTGCGGAAATTATAGTAATGCATTATACAATAAATAAAAATTATATATATCTGAAAGTTTGTTTTATATATTTCAATAAATATTTTAGAACTTGTAGCGAATTACCTTCAAAAATTTATTTTCTTGGGCTGACCGATCAAGATTGGTAAAATTTTTTATGCAGAAGTATTGCCCGAACAATGCGACAGGGTGTAAAATTAGCGAAGAAATAATTTCACTACTGGTTTTCGCGATATGACTCTGTCGAACTACATTCAAATATTAATTTTCTCAAGCTGGCGGACCAATGAAGGCACAAAATTTGTATGCAGAAATGTTGCCCAAGTGATTTCACTGGGTAAGAAATTGTTAGAAAAATAATTCCGCTACTGGTTTTCGAGATGTTTCAAAAACACTTTACGGCAGCTGCTAACTTGTCACTTCTGGGCGCCTGGTAAAATTTGCCAAATTTGCGAAATGGTTAATTTTTTCTGAGCGGCTGGCAGAGTGTGTGTGCGCGTGTGTGACAATTTTATTGCCTACTTTTAGGCGCATATATAAATGTATACATAACCATGCCACCGAATGCTGCAGAATCGAATTTTTTGAGTTGTATACTTTTAGGGACATTTTCCGCGATATTCAAATATTTATATTATTCCTTATTTTAGAAAAAAAAATTTATTTGGTGGTTATAGAGATAAAAAAAACATAATATCTTTTTTTAACTTTTATTTAATTTAAATGAAAATGAAAGTACAATTCAAGTAAAACAAGTATGCCAGTACATACAACGACACTTCTTATCAACTATTGCTCTTCTACTAACAAATGAATTCAGCAAACAATGGACATACATATTATGATAAAAAGTGAATCAAAATTAAATTCAAAATTAATTCAGAAATATAAATTGTAAAATGTGCTGTGAACAGAGAGAATGTGCGGCACAAGGTGCATTATCCCTTGGAGATTTCAGCAGCACCCATTTACTCATCATCATCTTCGTCGTCGATGATAGCGAGACGACGTCGCTTAGCAGGCTCCTCACCGCTGTCTAAACGCTGTTGTTCCTTCCTAGTTGGTTTCCGGCGCATGATGAATGCATCCTCTTCCTCGCTATCGGTCTGTTTCCCATTGGTGATGTTATATTCTTCATCGCTATCGCCCGAAATGTCACGTTTACGTTTATTTCTTGTTGTGTGTGATGCAATCTCATCAACAGGTACTGTGCCGTCAGCCGTTGTGATGATGTCATCAGTATGTGCTTGATTGCCTGCTGTGTCAACTATGCCAGCATCCAAATCGCTTGCGCCGCCATCATCTTTAGCATCAGCATTAGTTCCGGAAAGGGTCGCAACCTCTTTCTCGTCCACACCATCATTATCGTTGCTGCCTTTGTTCTCTTCGTCGACGGTCTTGCCCTTTTTGATGCTGCTAATCATTTCATCATTTGCATTGGCACTCTCATCTTCTTCACTATCGGAGTCAATTACATTAGCGCGCCGCATGCGCGTCTTATTGTTAGTGTTGCTGGTCACAGCTGTGGCGTCCTCGTCGTCATCACTGTCGCCCAACTCAAGCAGTCGCTTGCGGTAGTCTTCTGAATTGAAATTGAGCTCATCCATTTCCTCGGTGTAAGTAGTTGCCTCACGCTTCTTCTTGGCGGTTTGAGATTTCAGTTGATCGAATAAATCAGTCACAACATCGGTCTTTTTCTCTGCAGCGGTTAACTTTGCGCCATCATCATCATCTTCATCACTGCTGATTCCTGGTTGACGCCGCTTTTTGTCGAGTTTCTTTATGATTTCATCAACCTCACCCACATCGTTGTCGGAGTATTCGTCCACCTTTTTACCTTTGGACGCTTTGGGTTTACGTTCACGCTTCTTCTTTTGTCCAATACCGGCACGCTCAACGTCTTCTTCATCGCTTTTGTTAAACATTATGCTGCGCATTTTCTGTGCACGCTTCTCGACGAAGTCGTCCATTGCGGCATCGCGTTTCTTATGTTTCTCAGCGAAGTTATCGAAGAAATCTTCCTCGCTTTCACTGTCCTGCCTTACGGCACCACCAGCATCGCCATCGGAATCGCTATCTGACTCATCGTCATCACCATCATCATCATCATCATCCGATTCGTCATCGGTAGCAACCTCCACAGCCGTTTCCGTATCAGCACCCTCCTCCTCTACACCTTCCATATCGATGTCGATCTCTTCGCCAGCTACGATTTTCGCACGAAACTTTAGGTCAGCCGAGCTGAGGTAGACTGGTATGCGCCAATAGCTTTCTGTGCCCAATAAAGGTGGCTGTATGCCTAAAGCTACGATTATCTTTTGGAAATCACCATTCTCCATGGCTTCACGTGCGACCTCTTGCAGTGGCACCAACGGCACTCCATCATCCTCCTCACTGGGCTCTTCTGTGTCTTCGGCTGCATCATCTAGGCATTCTTTCAACCAATCAATGGCCTCCTGATACTTATCGGCAACTTGTGCAATCAGCGCCCGCGCAGTACCCACATCGAGTGGCGTACGCACGATCTTACGCTTCACCGGTATGACGGGTTTGGCTGCTGCCGCCAACTTAATCTTATTCTTTTTCAATTTATCCTTCTTCTTCTTCTTCGATGACGTCTTCGAGGCTTTAAGGCCGCTGGGCGATGGCAACTCGCCGAATTGCGGTTCTTCCATATATTCACCTTCGAAGTCACTGCCAGCCGAGTTAGCGCTTGCCTTCTTGGACTTGCGCTTGGGTTTTTTTTTCGGCATGATCTCCGATTTATCCGCGATTATATGTAGTTGCAGCAAGCGTTGTAGAATCTGACGTTTCGTCCGCCGATCTAGAAACTCGTTGATTATGCGTTGCAAGCAATCTGCAGATTAGAGGCAATTAAATTTTAACAGCATATATCATGTTTTTGGGAAATGTTTTCACAAGATACTTACCATCTTCCAAGCGATGTTCGTCGTAGAGACTTTGCAGTTCTTCATCTTCCTCTGTGGACCAGAGCTGCTTGTTAACCGCGCCAGCAGTCGTACGCTTTGTGGGCGCCTTAAATACCAGACCCATCTCCTTCATCTTTTTAAGCACCATGCGTCGCGTGCGTGTCTTCTCATTCAGATGCTCCAATATCCAATCAATCACATCTGGAAAGACAAATGAGTAAGAGTTTGTGAATTTGATAGGATTACAATGAAAACTATTTCCTCAATCAACCAGTGCCGCCTATAAATCAATCAGTTTCCCACGTACTTTAACACTTGCCCAACACCCTCCTTCCCATCAAAAAAAACTTTATAAAATATATATGCCTCCTTCATACCCAAACCAAGCATTTAAGGATTTCAATTTAATTTGCCAAAACGCGCCCTTACCATGGACCTCAACTACGGTAAACCCTGTTCACCAACTAAATGGTTGCGAATTAAAAGTGACGAAGTGATGAAGCATTTTTCGGCTTGTGGTCAAGTTGTTATTGTTGTTGGGCCTCCACAAACTCTATGCAGCTAAGTTAGTTGTTAGCTCTTGTTGGCGCATTTGTTGAAAGTGTCGTCTACTTTGGCATTCGCTAGTTGTTGAGGTTGCGGTTTCGGCTTCGGTTTTTTGCGCGTCACTGACGACGGCTGCCAACCAGTAAGATTGATAAGGAAGCTGTTTATGCGCTCAAATCTACGTAGGTATTTATGCCATTATTTGTATGTGTAGAGAGATATAAAGTTCGAAAATTTGTGCGTGTAAGTTCGGCTGCTAATCACTTGAAATAACAATTAGAACAAAACATTGTTATTCTTTCAAGGTCAGCTGTGTACACATACGGCATTGGTATATTAAGGTAAGGCTGCAAAAGAGAAGTGTAGACTTATTACGAGCCTCTTGCAAAACTTCAACGCATCTCTTAACCGCAAAAGATCTATAGATGAGTCGGAAACTAATTAAGGTTTAGATTTACAGATATTTCGATCGGTCGTAGAAGATACTGCGATGTTGAAGAAATTCTTGTACAGCTATATTTATTTCGTACTTAGAAGGGAAGATACGCAAGAAGTGCGAAGCCAAACGGCTGAAAATATGAATAGTGTTTATGGTCCTAGTATCTTAATACCCGTTAAACCGTTCCGGTAATTTGATGTCAAGGTGGACTTCGCCCGGGTAGGCCAATTTTCAAGTATCAATAAAATTGGTTTCGATTGCCCAGGCTAAACATATGGATTGGCCGGAAACCATTTACTTTGAACTGCTGTTTCGAAACAACATAGGGCCAAACATATAAAGATGACTGAGCAGAAACTGCAATAGCTCGGTTGGAAGATTCTAGTGCATCTACCTTATAGTCTGTACCTGCCACCAAGTGACTATTACGTGATCCTGCCTATGGTGAATGATGTTTGTGGTGAAAAAGTCGTAGTTTTTTAGGGATAATATTTGATGCATATATGACTTAAATCGGATCTATCTAACTATACTAAATTAAATTTTTAACTTAATGCGAAAATCAGTTCTTCAGGCGTATTCAGGTTTAGTATTTGAAGCATTTGGCTTACTGTTAAACCAACTATCAAAATATTCAAAATAATATAGAAACAAAGCAATTTGGATGCATAATGTACTTTCTTACGGGTTACCAATTTCTAGGAGGGAGACTGTCAAAGCAGCAGTCAAGGTTATCACATGTGTTTCACATAAATAATCAGTATACTTTGGAAAGCTAATATGAAAACACTCACTTATAACGGAACAACGTAAAATAATCGTGGATTTATTACATAACTCGAGTTCTGTGCGAAAAATTAATATATGGAGTGCGAGCAAGGCAGAAAACATTTTATAGGCTCCGTTGCATACAAAGAAAACTCCGGTCTAATACAATTTCTATGCGGAGTTCCAACTGTAGATGGAGCTTCACGGTATTATCAACTGGAATGGCTAAATAAAAATTTTTCTTACGAAATTTTGGTATCCCACGTAACTATCAATCGTCTAATTGTTAATTAACTGCAAGCCAAACCAATATTTGTTAAATATTTATAATAATTTGATAACTTTAAAAATCAAAAGACACTTCATCAAGCAGCTAATTTATTACTTTGAGTGCAATAAATCTTATAGTTAAAACGATTGCGTTAACAAAAACAGGTTCAAAAAATGTATAGAAATCCCCACGCTCGAGCGTCGGTGTATCAATTTGAATAAACAATAAATCAACCATTGCTTCCGCCCGCTCAATTTACAAATATTTATTTCTCCAACATCAACCCACTTAATTTCGACAATTCTGACAGTTTAATAAAAACAAATATTAGTTTGTCATTTCAGCGCTGGTGTCGTCACTTGTCAGCGCGCTGTCCACTGCGCAATGCGCCAAACCCATAAAACGCATACCTCTGCTCAAACACACCCTCATATACATATATACAGACATCTAAAATGCCGTCTCAATTTCAATGAATTGTTAAAACTGTCTCAATGTGATACAAATGATCTGCGCAATTATGTGCGACGGACACAAAGGCCTTGGCGCCGAACACACGTCAAACGCGCAACGGCACAGCCGAATGGCGAAATAAGTGAAGGAATAATGTTGACATTTGTGTGACAGTAGGTGGGGTGCGATCAGGTTTGACAGGAATCAATTCAAATCATGAATGATTATAGGCTGGCAGACTGAGGTTAGGAGCGCACCGCTGAGCTGATATTTATGGAGATACAGTTATAATTTATATGTATGTGCAACAACAAAAGTAAAGGAAATAGGTGGCGACAACTTACCTTATCAGTTTCAGGATTACGCTGATTCTCCTCAAAGAGCATACGCAGTTGGTCCTCCTGTTCTTCGGTCCAAACGCCTTTAGCGCTATTGAGCATAGAATACAAGAGGAAAGTCAGCAAGTTAGTATAATACTACAAAGGTCTATATGTATTACAATACAAAGGCAAAATAATCATTTATCATTCCATCAGCAGCAGACGGCAAGCAGGCATCAGGTTGGCTGACCGAATGGCAGCCAAGTGATACATGAATAGCTCAACTGCCGCTGTCACATGAGCAGCAGTTGAGGCGTTGGCTTGCCGCGGTTTACAAGCAGAA